TGTTCATTACCTTGCACTCCGACATTGCAGATGTGTAGATCCAGGTGAAGGAGGTTAAGTGTGACTTCAGAATAGGGTCGACCAGAATTGGGGCTAAGACGTCACCCTACAAGTCCGAGTCCCAAGTCATTGCCACCAAGTCAAGTCTAAAGTCACCAAGAATGCTTCAAAGTCGAATCCCGAGTCAAGTCACTTGATGTATCAAGTCATTTGCAAGTCGTGCATATGGCAGTGCTTATGGATTAAACTAGGTAGTCTAGATCACAATGGCTCAATGGCTGCTTGTTCTGCTACCCATACAAGTGCTTCTCTAAGCAGCTGTAATCTCTACTACCATTCTTGAACAAGTTGCTACTCGCCACTATTATATTTTATTGTTTCCACCCACCTCTGTTGCTGTGTATGCCTAAGCTGACCTTAACCCACTTTTACCGGAACCATTTGCGTATTTGATGATGTCTGCTAAACATAAACAATGATTTAACAGCGCCCTTATCTCAGTGATTACGGCATCGGGATTCTTGTCACTGCAGTACTTCCATAGTGTATCGGTTAGCTCCATCCTGTCTGCTACCTCGCAGTATGACAACCTTAGAGTATATATATATATATATATATATATATATATATATATATATATATATATATATATATATATATATATATATATCACCTGGTATATTCCCCCATCCCCCTCTCCCCCTTTTTTTCTCCATTATTTTCCTTGTCTGAGCTTGTCCAGATCAAATGCCTGCTGTTTTATATTTTCAGTCTCTGTTTTCCAGGAGCGGAATTTTTTCAGACGTCTTCCTTTTTATGTCATCAGTAGAGAAAGAAAATTATTATGGCCTGGAGAGAATAAGGCACCAGTGTGTAACCAATGGGTCTGATCAGCTCACTTCACTCAGAGGAAAGGCATGACGGACATGTAACCAGATTGTGACCGGTACCATCAGTATTGGAACTCTGCGCTGGCTGCTGAAGATGAGAACGGAGCGCGCATAGGAATGCCCGAGGACTGTGATGTCAATTGTTGTCTTCTGAATCACCGTTTGATTAGCCATTTAGCTAGATTCGCCTGCTAGAGAGAGTCCACATCTTCGGGGTCTGACATCTTGATTATCATGTAACACAATTTGTTGCCACACTTTATGGAAGCAGGCTTATCTTTAAGTGAAATGAAATCTCCACTAGGATTGCATACTGAGCGATTAAAACTGACGCAAAGTGCAGTGCGTCAGTATGCGGGTGAGAATTCCCCTAGGTATTAATCCCATAATATTTTAGGCCCCTGGCGGTTACAAAATAACCAGAAGTTTGGTTTATTGGTTTATAGAACGGATCAACATCATGGCACAAGGGTAACTCCGTAGCACCGGCAAGGATCCTGAAATACTTTGGGTAGATTTTAAACTCCAAACTCTTTTCGATTTCCAACTGCTAAGGGATATTTTACGTGCGCAACAATACACACGGGCGTCCGATCTTACTACCCAGAGACGAGTGGAAATTACTAGAAGTCCACGTGAAAAAATCCCAGCCTTCACCGGTGCCTGAACCCGGGACCTCGACCTCCAGCACTCGAGGCGGACGCCATGTCTCAAGACCCCCCCCCCCTTCCCTCCTCCTTTTCCGAAGTCCAGACGGGGGTAGGATTGTGTATAATATTTATTCTTTGGGAATGTTAAAGTGTTTTGGTCTATGTTCATTTTAGAGACCATCATAATCGCACATGACCATAAGTGTTCCGATATCCGCCTGAGTATGCCTGCAAGTGTTTAATTTTTCTGATTAATGTAACGACGGGCGGCTCCCGTATGGTTTTCCTGTCTCGCTCCAATTGGGACACGTCGTTATCTGAATACGTATTATTTTGAGGCATGATTTTCTTGGGATAGTACAGCGGTGGTTTCCCCTTGCCTTCCGCCGGTTTGTATATGGTTTTGATGTCTGCTGAATTGACTCACGCAACATATCCCACTGTTCATCAATAGTCTGTATAATTTCCATTGCATTATACCGGTTTTGTACAGTGACGTTGTACTGTTCCTTAATTCCTTTATCCGTTCTAAGAATTCCTAAATTTAACTTGATGTTCTGTGGTGTTTTTCTAATGTTCTTTAGTTTTATTCTAATTTTTCCTACAACTGGAACATGGTCACTAAAGCAGTCTGCCCCTGGTCTAGTTTTTGCTCCAACTAAGCTGCTCTGAAATCTTCTTGAAATCAAAATATAATCAATCTGATTGCGGACATTATCACCAGGACTTTTCCAAGTCCACAATCTTCGAGGATGGTGTTTAAACCAGGGGTTACCGATTATCATGCTGCGCGACTCAGCCCATGCTATTAATCTGTCACCTCTCACATTCTTTTCTCCTAGTCCATAGCCACCCGTTATTCTGTACACTTTTTCACTTCCTACTTTTGCGTTGAAATCTCCAAGTACCATTGTTACTTCACAATTTTTGCATTGATCAACAGCCATGTCTAACTCATCATAAAATGCGTCAATGTCTTCCTCTGAACTATCTGCTGTTGGGGCATAAATCTGTACTAAGTTGATGTCAAACGGTCTGCCGCGAAGTTTTACTAATAGTACTCTATCTGATATTGTCCAAAATCCTTTAACAGTTTTTGAGTTCTTTGGATCCAAAATAACACCAACTCCCTTACTATATTCTTTCCCACCCGAGTTGATAATTCTGTACTGATCTGAATACTTTTCCCCTGCTCCTGGCCATCTCATTTCACTAATTCCCAGTATGTTGATGTTCATTCTCTTCATTTCCATCTTGATGTTATCCAGTTTTCCGTTTTGTACGAGTGTTCTGACATTCCATGTACCAATGTTAATGATGTTTCTACCATTTACTTTTTCTACAGTAGCTGGATGACGGTCGGGTATCACCCGTAGAACATGATGCTCCCTACCGGACGAGGTGATTCCACCGGAATCCCCATTCACGTCGTTATCTTAATACGTATTATTTTGAGGCATGATTTTCTTGGGATAGTACAGCGGTGGTTTCCCCTTGCCTTCCGCCGGTTTGTATATGGTTTGACTCCAATAGCCTTTGTCTAAAAAGACTTACCCTGCATGGCAGCAGGGGGGAGAGGTTATGGCGCCTCTTACCCGCCGATGGCCATGTCGTAGAGTTTTGAGGTATTTTATAGAGTTAGCTGTCCCACCAACTAACTCGCCTCCTCTCAATGACCATCACCTGTTTTGGTCCACGGCCACTTATTCAATATATTCGTGGCTAACCTCTATATCTAGAGGCCTTTCCACCATCCGCCACCTGGTGGACGCGCCTAGTAGTAGGACAGGCTCCTACCCCAGGACAGAAGTAATGGTGGTATCAAATAAACGAATTATTCCTAAATGTGTTAGTTAGTTAGTTAGTTAGTTAGGTTATCATCATTGCACTCCGGACATGTCCATAGGTGCTCAGATCCTCCCCTCAGTATGAACCCCAACGTCCGATGGCTAATAGTACCAGTTCTATGTTGATTAACAAGTCTTCTGACGTGTCCGATGTGCGTCTCGTTTTTTGCTGTGCCGATCTTAATTCCTAAGTCTGCCATTCTGGCGAGTGATGTGGATTCACTGCCACCAAAGTCCACTATCCTTCCCATTTCTCTGAGGGCATTGATAATATCAGCATGATCCATAGGCCGACCGTCGGTAGTGATAGCGGATCCAGCCAACCTGTCAGCTCTTTCATTTCCATCGACGCCTGCGTGTCCCGGAACAAAAATAAAGGTGACTCCTCGCACAGTGGACTTCTGAATTGATTCAAGCCATTGTCTTCGCACTGAACCTGCCTGAACCCTCCGGATCATACTCATTGAATCACTGAGTATACATATGCGGGTGTATTTTTGTGTTTCAAGCCAGGCAAACGCTTGCGTCACTGCCATCACCTCCATCGTCATGCTGCTGGTTGTCATGGAGAAAGCGCCGTTGGCTTCTTTGACTGTTCTGCCCGCTGAGCGTGCTGTAAATGCCCATGCGCTTCTTCTTTGGCGTATAACGGATCCGTCTGTATAGATTAGTGCATCTGCTTCGTCTGAATTTTCACCGATGAGAGCGTTGACCTCTGCATTAACAGCAACAGGATTCTCTTCTCTACATCGCCTGTTGAGTGTGACAATACAGGAAAATGTACAAATAAACGTCTGAGGCACAGGTATCCATTCTGCACCAGGTATGATGTCGGTTAGGCTGCATATTTGCCTAATAACATCTTCTGCCCGACCTAGCCACGATTTTCCCCTCTTCAGTCTGTCGCCCTTTTCACTAAAAAGCGCTTGATGCAGTGGGTGTTTCTTATCAGCACATATTTTGAGGTATGCCCGAGCCCTCCACACCCTGATCCTTTGGTTCATTGTTGGAAAGTCAAGTAGATACCTCATTGCTCCACAGGATGTGTCTCTTGTACATCCCAAAATAATACGCATGGCTTCATTTTGCACCTTTTCGAGTCGTTCAATCTGGGTAGCACTGACAGTGAGGATGGCCAGAGCGTATTCAATGGGGGAAAGGACTAGACCGTAGAATAGAAGTACTAGTAGTCTTTGCTCCTAAATGTGTATTAAAAGTCAATGGTGTTATTTTAGCACAAGTACAGAAATTTAAGTATCTGGGCACATGGATAATATCAGATGGAAGATGCATAAGTGAGATAAGAAACAGAATAGGACAAGCAAAAACTGCATTTTATAAATTGAAAAATATCTTGTGCAATATATCCTTGTCATTGAGAGTTAAAAAATTCCTGCATTTTTAATTGTCTCCCCTATGACGTCAGAGGAAGTCGCCATATTTGTGTAGTTGTACTGGAGGTGTTTGTAAACAAAGTCAACGTCCCGTCAACCGAAACTAGAGGTTGCTAAGTCAGACGCTCTCTAGGACTGCTTGATCTAAGAAGACATTACTGTCATTACAGCTGTAAAGCAAAGGATACAACAACTGCATACGTCACGCTTTATTAAAAAATGGGTTGTCTTATCGGAACAGTGAGTTTCTATAAAACTACGTCGTTTGTAATTGTTTTCTGACATTCATTTTGATTTTATTCATTTTGCAATAATGAATAAAAATAAAATTTATAATAATAAACAAAATAAGGCAATAAAAAAATCTAAAACCGAACGAAAGGTAGATCAACGAGTTTCACTATATAACAAACAAAATGTGGCTATAGCTATAGAATCTTCATCAGCACATACGTAAATCAAACAAAACAACACAAATTCACAAAAATCACTTAACTGTCAGTACTGAGTATCGTATCCAGAACGGCCATGCTGATGTCTTGCCAGTGGAATAAAAAATAATATTAATAAAGCAGAAGCGGACATTGTGAAAATGCAGTGGGATCACGCAAGCAGTGCAATAAAGCAGACAGATCATCTAAATCTATACCATTGTTGTTGATTATTTATTTTTAATTTTATTTGCAAAAGGGAAAGACTGACGTAGTACTACTAGTACCATACCATTCTTCTACTCTAGTTAGACTAATTTGGCTGTCACATATTTTGAGTTATGTCCTAACGAGGTATGTGAACTATTCCCATCTAAGCCTCCCCCTTCTCTCAAATTATTATCATCATGATTAGCATGCACCCTTTTGTGGACCTCAGTGCTGTGTATCTGTGTTGATTGAAAATCAGAAGCATTCCATGATGGGATTGAACCTTAGACGATTGTCTCAACAGTTTTTCTTACAGAATTACCCAGGCTTTTCCAACCAAAGAAAAGGAGGCTATCCCCTGAATAACGGTCCCAAATTATCGAGGCCGAAAATATACCTTAATGGGGCCTCAGTCACATGAAATTGCGGACTTCCGGTGACTTAAATTGCGCTCTTCTGGCGACTTCTGCCACCGCCGAGAGTATCTCCTATGCCGCTGCGGGTCGGCGTGGATTGGGGCTAAACTAGATGGCTGGGACAAAAAGATCAACCCAGATGTTTTGGAAGAGGCGAGAGTTTGAAGGAGACACTCATTAATTTTTGGTCTTGTTATGAGAAGAAGGAAACTGGAACTTGCTGTGACCACTGGCAAGATATGTGGGAAAAGAAGCAGAGGAAGACAATGCAAGCAGATTCTTGACAATTTTTTGTCATGGCATAGACCGGTCTCAGCACACGAACTAATACATGCAGTTGAAGATGGCAGATTGTACAGAGACATGATCGCCCCCCACTAGACGGCAAGGTACTTGATAATGATGATAACACTAGCATGTCGTGGACACAGGATATCAGAGACACGAAGGCATGAACACTCATGTGGCCAGAATACTTTCAGGGGACCAAGTGGCTTTATAATTTGCCATGATGACAGGGACGTTCTGCAAAGGACCTGTTACATGATGATTAATTTTTAACTAACAAAAACCCACCCACTCTAGGCTACAGGTTACTTCTTAACTGTTTTATAGTTCCCCAGTATAACTGCTATAGGCTTGAATGGGATTTACAGAATTTATACCTGTTTGATTCTCATCCTTGAGATGTAAATCCAACAGACTGCAATCCTGGAGGGAAAAATAAAAATTAACTGATTGTATTTGTTTTAGATACCTTTGATTGTGTTGATTTCAGCTCGGAGCTTCAGCTGCTTGTTGCTGTGGAAGTGCTGCCTGCAGTTTGTGCTGTGCTGCATGTCCATCATGCAAGAACTCCACAGCCTCCAGGATCGGATACGCCCTCATGCTGTTTGTTGGATCCATTGTGGCTGTGTTCATGTTAATTCCTGGAATCAGAGACAAACTGCAGGAGGTAATTATTAATCATAAGTAATTTGTATTCTTATTACTAAATATAGTTCTGATGACACAACCTTTCAGTTTGGTTTTTGTGTAAAAAAAATCACTTTGATTTCATACAGATATCTTCATGTATGTTATTAATATCTTTTTTTCACCCACCGAGCTGCTACCTGAATGTTAGATCACCCCTGAGTATTCAAGAATGTTATCCTGGATTGATCTCCATAGGTTCTTCATCTGCCATCCTTAAATCACACCCCAAAAAATCTCAGCATAGTGCATGCATTCTGTAGGTCTGATCACAACGGAACACTGTAAACTCGGAGCACACTTACACGAAGGAGTTTCACTGACTCTGTTACATATAGTTTTGGTGCCGAGTTTTTTTTATAGAATTGTTCACACTTTTCCAGTACAAGGGAAGAAATCTAATTGAAGGTAGTGACCCTGCAAGACAAACTATGGGATAGCACTGAAGGCCTCGAATGCACTGTTCTCTTTCCGACTCAGTGTTGGAATAGGTGAATATTAATTGTTATCACTGAACAAACTTTATTTTCATAGGGTCAAAAATTAGTCACTCAGGCCAATCTTGCATTTGGCCCTTCCAGACACCTATTTTCCCAAAGCAGTTGTATTTTATCCATGTTATTTTCATGTAATAATATGCATATTATGAATATCAAGTCAAAAACACAAGCATGGGTGGTAAAATGCATGCGCACTCTCGCTCGCGCGCACACGCACACACCCATGCAAACTCATTCACTCACACACACACAGGTAGGCACGTAGTGCACACATAAATACACACACATCTACATACATATACACACACACTCATACAGTCACACACACTTTCACAAACACACACTCAGACAACCCAGACATATACAGACACACTCTGACACACACACAGCCGCATACAAAGATTTGAACAAAGAAGACACAAACAATAGACTGCACAATTTATTGCCTGGCATATTTCGCTGTATCTCGTCAGGTGCATACTACAGAAACAATTAATTAAAATGGAGTCAGGCAATAAATTGTGCAGTCTATTGTTTGTATCTTCTTTGTTCAAATTCACATCGGGGAAACATTGCTTTGATTGCATAAAAAGATACCTACAAACACACACACAGGTAAACCTACACAGACACATACATGCAGCCACAAGCACACACACATAGGAACATACACAGACACGCACACAGTCATACACGCAGAAATGCGTACGCACACCGTCATACACTCAGACATTCCTACGCACACAGATATACACACAAACAGAGACATATTATCAAATAGACACACCCATAGAGACACACAAAGCCACGCACACAGGCACAGATACACACGCAGCCACACATACATGACACATAGATACACATACGCAGACAAACACACACAGTGAAGAAGATGAAGGGGTCCCCATGTGGGTTCCAGAGCCCCATTTTGGGGAAAATAAGAATAGACCCCTTGCCCCCCAACTGTCATGTCATCAAAATCAACAAATTAGGGGTGTATCCTGTGGAGTCAACATGCAGCTGCCTGAGGAATGAGAAACCAACAGTCTGCATACAACTAAGTGACAGCAAAATTCAAGTTTAGAAAAAAAGACCAAAGTCCAGTAGTGGACCAACAACCAGAACTTTCCGTCTCAGTTTACAATTGTTGAATGCTAAGAAGAAGAAGAATGCAGAAGAAAAAGATCATTATATTTTGCCATTTCCTGGACCTTTCTTCATTGGCTACCATTTGCATGCTTCAGATACCAGCTCTGTGTGATTATGTGGGCAAGGAGAGCTGCGACAAAGTTGTGGGGTTTCTGGCAGTGTACAGAGTCTGCTTCGCCATGGCCATGTTTTTCCTGCTCTTTTGTGTCCTGATGATACAAGTGAAGTCTTCACAAGATCCACGGGCCAAAATTCAAAATGGGTAACAGTTTTGAAGATATTACTACTCTGGGTTACAGGTTACTTCGTAAATGTTTTGTGGTTCCCTAGTATAACTGTGCTTGTTTGTTTGTTTATTGTTTGTTTCTTTGTTTATTCAACGGATCTACATCATGGCACATGGGTGTAACCGATAAGGGCTCTGTTCTACTTCTAACTCAAGCCTGAGTCTGAAGAATTCAGAGTTAGAATATAAATGTAACTTATTTAACCTCAGTTAAAAGACAAGAAAGATGGCAATATATTTGACACATCATGGGAGAAGCGTATAAAGAATCACCAGACAGCACTGGTAGGTAGGTAAGTTGTACCCCACCAGGACATCACACAGATGGTAAACATCTGGTGACACAAAGTACCACCATGCGGATAAGGATCACCTATGGAGGTGTCCCAGAAACCCGGTCAGCCGTTAAGCCATATTTAAGGCCCGGCTATATTTAAGACCCCCCGGCAAAAGCCAAGATGGGGCTTCAAAACAATAAAAATTGCACCCTACAAGGGAAGGACGAAGAACAGACAGCACAGAAATTGGAAACAAATGGAGTGAGAACACGAGGATCTCCAAGAGAAACCCCAAGATGAATGTTGTTCAGAAAGAACTAAATGGAGAATTAGATTACTGTTTGCTTTCCTGCCTCCAACTTTTCCTTTCAGTTTGATTTTTCTGTGTCATTTCTTCAACCCGGAGATGCCACAGAACCGACACTTCCAATTGGATCCAATTTCCTGAAAAAGACAGAGTTAAATGTGGCTGCAACAACTTCCCTTCCCTTTTTTATTTTATTTCTGTCAACTCCTTTTTCATCCTTGTCTCTCTGAAACCTCTTTCCCCATCTTCATGAAATATGGCATACTTTTCCATCTACAAACACAGCAATAATAACACTATAACAAGTGTCCTTGCACTGCATGCAGCACACAGAGTAAAATATATATGGCAGACAAAAAAAAAGAAGAAATTCATACAGAGAAGAAAATTAGAGAATGAGGTGAAAAAGATGGGAAGGACATTAGATGAGCTGTGGGTGAGTGAAGCAAAGAATAGGACAACTTGATGCGAGCTGGTTGAAGACTGATGTTCCATTGGGAATAAAAGGCAAGTGAGAAAGAAGATGGGTATACTATATTTGTTGTAAGGGTTCTGGTCCCACTGGGGTGGGGGCATATATTTGCTGCGCCTCAGCCTGCATGTTGTAAAAAAAGGACTGGTTAAGAGTTAAGTGAAAACATGTCTTGGGTTGAAAGGTGCAGATGTTGCAGGCTAGCATGAAACCAACACACAGCGTGCTAGCTCCCAGTTTAAGAGCAGACACTGAAAAAAAGAAAAAGAAGAAGATACTCAACGGAAGTATTTTAGAATGCAGTTAAAAAAAGCAACATTCATTATAATTTTTCTTTTTATATGTGATGGTATTTTAACTCTTTGAGTCCCAAGGAACGCATCATACGTTCATAGATTCCTACCAAGAGGCCCAATGAACGCATGATGCGCCAATTTTACGTCTTTCTTGACTACCCCTTGGGCTTGTGATGCTAAACCCCCCTGGGACTCAAAGAGTTAAATGGTGGTGTCTATGCTAATCATTTGCCTTGTAATCTGAAGGTTATGGGTTCATTTTATGGACTGTTTTATTCAGTTCATGAGTGTAATTTTTACAGAGAACCTTGGGGATTGTTGCTGAAGCTATGAAGTTCATACTTTGTACTAACCATGCTACAAAGAGAGACTGAGCCATATGAGATTTTTAAAAACCCCTTTGCTATCTTCTTCTCAGCTTTATACTTTTAAAAATTAAGCAAAAAATGATCTTTTATACAATTCCTGTAGATTTTGGTTCTTCAAGATCCTGATTGTGGTGCTCATCTGCGCTGGTGCGTTCTTCATTCCTCAAGGATCATTTGAGCACGGCAAGTGTGATTTATGTTTCAAAATTAAAAATAAATGATTTTATCTCTTACTTATTGTTTCTGTTGACACCAGCCTTTGCATTTTGAATGAATGAATGCATGAGTCAACAATTAAGATCACTGCACTTGGAGCATTGCTACACTTGCTCTCCACCCTTCATCAATTTTTCAAGTAACTAACTAAAGGATCTTTGTCACGCCACGGCATATTGGGCACACACTGCAGACTCACAATTTTTATAGACCGATCAGCCTGTGTTGACCTGGGAGCCAAGTTTATTTTTGACAAAATGTAACTTGATACAAATTTGAATCCAAAACCTCTCCATTTGGGCTCCAGGGCCCTATTGTGGTTAAAACAAGAATAGATACACTGCCTGCCCAAAAGTATTTTGTAAGAGTCAACTAATTGGGATGTTCCTTCGAAATCAGAGTGCACCTTCTGAAAAGCAAAGAACCAACTATCTATATACAAATGAGTCAGATCTGTAAAAGGGATATACACGCGACACTCATGCACAGTGAGGATATTCTGTTGATTAACTAATTGACTTGCTAACTTGATGTCCCCTATATATATATATATATATATATATATATATATATATATATATATATATATATATATATATATATATATATATAAATATATATTAGACATTTTTCTTTTTTTTTTCTTTTACAGCTTGGATGATATTTGGCATGATTGGAGGGTTTCTTTTCATTCTGATTCAACTGGTGTTGCTTGTAGACTTTGCTCATGGCTGGGCAGAATCATGGGTGGAGAAATATGAGGAAACAGAATCAAAATGCTACTATTTTGGTTAGTATTTTCATTCATTTTTGGTGCTAAGATTGAGATCTCCTTGTGGGTTCCGGGCCCCATTTTAGGGGTGAAGAATTGACCCGCTGCCCCTTTAACAAGCGTGCTGGAGAACTCCTCTGGTTAGGGGTTTTTCCTTCAAAGTTTGAGTGCATTTGCCTGAGTGGTGAAGAACAAACAGTCTGCATACAAAGAAGCTAGATCTGTAAAACTGGTGTGAACCATGAGCGGGCTCTCTGTGGTCCATTATCTTGTGGTAGTCTTGACAGATGTCTGTTTGTTGATTCTTGATGTAGTTTGGCACATGTTCCATCCCCAATGTTTCCTGATATTATCATTTCTAATAATGTCTCATCTTGTAACATTTATGATTCATTTCTCTTGTTTTCATTTTTCTTTTTCCTTTTGTTGTTAGTGTCCACGTTTGGCACTGGTAACACAAATGTTTGTAAAATAGAAAAATATGGTATTCAGTGGTGCTCTTTTGGTGACCAGTTATTTGATTTTCTTTATTTCATCTGTATTCTATCTCTGCTACCATTTCTCCGTTGGGTGATATTAGTTAGTTGGGTAGTTAGGTTATCATTATTGCGCTCCAGACATGTCCATAATCACTCAGATCCTCCATCCAGTATGAATCCTATCTTCCGGTGGCTAATAGTACAAAAGCGTATTGATGAACAAGATGCCTGGTGTGCTTCTCGTTTTTTGCTATGTCGATCTTAACTCCCAAGTCTATCATTCTGGCGAGTGATGTGGATTCACTGCCCCCACCCCCCAAAGTCCTCCACCCTTCCCATTTCTCAGAGGTGATATTAAACTCCCTAGATACTTGAAGTTTGTTTACATGCTTGAGTTGTTAGTTTTCTATGTGTGTCTTAATTAATTGGTTGTTTTGTTCTTGCAGTGGTCATAACTTCTGTTTGTATTTCTTGTTTAATGTTAATTTTCAGGTTTTGTGCTTTAGCCACTATGTTGAGATTATCTAAACATTCCTGTAGCTCTTCTTCTGTGCTTGCCATGAGGGTTTGGTCATTCACAAAGAGGAGTGCCCCGATTACACATAGAAAAATAGGTCATTGGTAGGTCCTAAATTCTCCTCATCTCTCGTGGGGGTTCTAGGGCCCCATTGGGGATGGAATAGACCCACTGTTGCTTATCAAGCATGTTGTAAAAAAAAGACTAATCAAGAAATTGCTGAAATGTGATGATTTGGGTCACAAGTGCAGATTTTGCAACCTAGCTGTAAACCACAACAAAACATGCCAAATGCCCTTTAAAAGGTGAACACAAAAGAAGAAGAACAAGAAGAACATTCTGCTCATAGAATAATAAACAGTGTGGAATTAGACCAAGCAGGAGGTGAAAAATAAAACTGATATGAAACAGCACAAGACTTCTACTCATGTACGCATCTGTTAAATAATGATTGCCACATATTTTATTGTTTTGTTTCAGGTTTATTTTTCTTCACAATTTTGCTCTATGCTGTGAGCCTGGTTGCTGTGGTCCTTTTCTACATTTACTATGCTCATGTAAGTCAAGAGCAAAGCTTTCTTAACTTGATAGTTTCAGATGAGAACCCTTTCACCCAGGAGACACTAAAAAAAAAAATTTGCTCATGAACATCTGGGAATTCCCTAAGTATTCATAAAAAACAACCATTTTACATAGGCAATTAATAGATTTTAAAAATATATATTTATTTACATAAATGTATTTTTTTTTTATATATAAAGGGAATAATCAGTAAATACGAACAGAGTAAGCATTAAATGGAATACATTCCACCCCTCTCCCCCCAGGCCTTAAAAAGAAATCCGGTGACTTGGCATGACCTCTAACGCTATGGTATGGAGAAAATGTGATGTCAAAATTCCTTTTGAAAAGCCATTTGGCTCACAAGAACATCCCCCCCCCCCCCTGCTATTTTTAGTATATATATTCATATCCTGACCTAAATGTAGCACAGGTGCAAACACAGTCAATGGCATTAATTAGGCATCTCATAAACATATTACTATAGAAATGCTAGTTAAGCAGGAAATTGGACTTTACGACAAGTGCTGGGTTTGCAGCTTCCCGAGGCAAAAGAGTTATGCCATGAATAAATATCTTCAAGTTTCAGCATGTTTTATGTTTGGTAAAAGCATACAATTGAAACTTATGTTGGTTTGTTTAAAACTGACTTTGACTCCTAGATCAACTCAGCCTAAATCGAGTATCAGGTAAAAATGTCTTAGGAAGTAAAGATGGTTTGGCTTAATGTTGACCACATTACTTATTTAGTGCCAGTTACTCTGTAAAACTGTAGGTCTAACACTACGCCAGATGTGCCAAAGGCATAAATAGGATCTTTTACATTTTTTGTTTTTGTTTTGTTTTTGTAAATATTTTAATAATCTTTTCTTTCTAACAATTATAAAAAGATAAAGAAACTGAAAGACATGGTGGCATGGTTGTTTTAGAAGAATGAAAAATTTGTGAACAGATAAGAGAACACATGCTGAGATTTTTGAGGTGTGCATCAATTACACGATATCATTAGAAATCAGTGACAGTTTTTACAATTCTCAACCTATGCTGGGCTTTGAGCAAGGTCACACCTGGTGCAGAGATTGTGACCTTTCAGTTCAGCCTCCTTTGATGACTGGTTTGAAATCAAAAATGAAAATCTAGGTACCAGACTTTTGTAATGGGACTGTGTTTTCTAGCCAGATGTTTGTTCTTTTAGTGGCAGCTTCTAAGGCAGTTTATTTGCAGTGATGAGGTTGATAGCCCCACCATGTCAAGTTTAAAAAAAAAAAAGGACAGTCTTCACAATAAAGGTTGAGTACTGAGTACCCCTGTTGACTTGAGGAAAATGACGTAGCTAGCCCCCAGGTTTGTCCGTGGTCGGACTCACATAGCACTGTGCGAAAACCACGAGAACAGTTTTTGAAACTTAAACAATCTGTCCAGTGTAGAACCCTAGTACCAGAGGGTCATGAAATGGTTAAATGCATTCACTAACCTTTAAGGCATAGGGCCAGGCAGACATACAGTATATCAACTGTAGAGACAGTTGTTCGTTATAACAAGTAAGATTTTTTTGCTCATAATTGTTTGTTTCCAGGGAGACTGCTCATTGCATAAATTTTTCGTTTCACTCAACCTGATTCTGTGTGTGGCCATGAGTGTCATAGCCATTTTACCCAAGGTTCAAGAACGTAAGTGTGCTGTGTTTGTAAGTTGTTGTTCTCCATTTCTCCTAACCTCATACTACACAAATTGAAAATCTGTTTTCTTCTTCTTAGAAAGTTGTGGTTGTTCATCCACTTCTGTACTTTGGTCTGGTTCCAGAACTCTAAGTTTTGCATCCTTTTTTTTTTTTCAAACAGATCTGGCTTATTTGTATGCAGGCGATTGCTTCCTTGCCTTTCAGGTAGATGCACTCTGACTTCATAGAAAGCACCCTAATTAGTTGCCGTGCTTGATAGGGAGCAGCGGGTATATTCACTTTTCACCCAAAATTGGGTCCAGGAACCCACACAGGAAGAAACAAACAGTGACCTGAGACTCCACATTCGTTGATCGAAAGCCAACTTGTGCCAGAGGGAAATATATGTTTCTGTTTAAATCCGAGCTGGTTTTATATGCTACATAAGAGAGAAGAGAATGTGAAGGAAAAAATGGTGCAGTGCCTCTGTAAGAGGCATATTTGCATGTCATTGTTTTATGCAGTGTGAGAGATTCTTAAATACTAATCAGAAGAGAGAGAGAGAAAATATTGACATTCTACAAAATCTGATCAGTGTAAACAGTTGAGTTGGGTTAGGATTATAGCCCTGAGGACATTTCCATAAGTGCTCACTCCCAGCCGCAAGTGCAGAGTTTCAGTTTCGATGGAACCAGTAGCAGTCTGATTGTATGTCCGGCTCACCTTTCTTATGGGTTTTGGGTGTCTGCCAGGTCTCCTGGCTACATCCCATTCTCCATTTTCTTTAGACCTTGATGATTTGTTTGCGCATCTGCACTGATTCACTCCCTCCAAAAAAAAAAGACCCTGACAACATCTAGCTTGTCATGCATAACTTACCACCAGGTGGTGCTTAACCAGCCAGTCTGTCTGACTGTTCATTTCCCAACACACCTGCTTGCCCTTGAGGACATATCCAAAGTATGCTGACTGTCCAAGACCTCTGAAGTGATGCTCGCCACTCTGCATGGAGCATATCTGTTTTCACCTTTCTCAGCATGCTCTTTGAGTCAGTTACAACGTGTGTGCAGCTGATTCTCAAGCCAGCAGAAGACTGTAGTGACTGCCTCCACCTACTTTCTCATACTAGATGTTGTGGTGTCAGATGCTAGCTTTGCTGCACTAAACGACATCCATTCACATTTGCTGTGAAACCATCATCAGAGAAAAACAAAACATAAATGGAATAATGCCTCAGATGCTGAAATACTTTGGCAGGATTAAATGCTCCAGTAGTTTTGAAAGAATATTTCAGGATGACAAGACTCAAAACTGGACATAGGCAATTGGAGTAACCTTGGGTTTGAAAATACAAGGGACAGAATTGACGAAGAACTGAGATTATTCCAATTGGCGGAGATGAGCGAGATTTATGTTTAGGAACTTTTGAGCCCATTCGTCAGATTATTTGAATTGATGGGGACCAACTCTGTGCTCTTTGTTTTTTGTGAGGATCCTATACTCATTAAAGGTGTACAAATTCTTATTCCTTGATGCTGATCTGACAGCATCTACAGCATTCCTTGTTATAAACGTATTGGTGTTACCTTTCCTTAGGAGTAAACAAAGCATGCCGGGAGAGAGATAATGGGCAGCACATAGTCTCTATAAAACTGCCCAGGGTTTGTGCTTTGGAATCAGTTCTTGTGTGTCCATAGCACAGTAGAACACTATTGTCTGAAAAGATGGAAAGGCATCACTTGTCAGTAAAATAGTTAATTGTGTGGCTAATAGTTTTACATTACTTGTTGAATCATAACCAAACATGATTGTTGTGTATTGTGATGCCATTGTAACTAACAGTCCTGTCTTTTGTATGCACAGACCAACCAAGATCTGGCCTTCTGCAGTCATCAGTGATCTCTGCCTATGTTATGTACCTCACCTGGTCCGCAATGACCAATAACCCAGGTAAGGGAAGGGTGTCGAGTACTTCACAGACCTTCACAGATCATAGGTAGTTAGCATCCATTGGTTACTTTCTCCAAGGTGTTCAATGTGTGTAGAGAAATATACAATCAGACTGGCTGGTTCTGCACCACTTGGTGGTTAAATTGATGCATGTCTAGCTTGATGTAGACAAGACCCTTTAAGACTAATGAACAGTGTGGAAGCACTAATACTCATAGATTGTCATTGTCTGGAGAGAATAGTGCAGCAAGGAGTGCCCAGGAGATTTGACTGACAGTAATCAGAGAAAAGGCAAGATGAACATAGACCAGACTGCCTGCGATACCATCGGAACTGGCTACTAAAGATTGGGGTGGAGTATGTATGGGAATTTCTTGAGTGCTATGCTGTCATTTCATAATTCACCTCAACTGGAAGGTGCAAGTTTGGTTATCAAACGATACCTAGGTCTGGGCAGTTATTGTCACTTGACTTTCATATAAAAAAGGAAATCTGGCCATTCATTTATTGTAAAATAAAGTGCTCATATACCTGCCATCTCACTTCCTAACATTTCTGTTTATTTTAGAACATCACAATTTCTTTCCTAATATTAATATATATTTTCATCTATTCCTTACATTTCTAGTTTATTTCCCATACATACATCTGCATTCATTCCCAAACAACTCCAGTTTTTTCTTGATGTCTCTAATTATTTCCTGAAATTCCTTCCTATTTCTTATCCTTTCAACTTATTTCTTATCATCTCCATTTATTTCCTTTAATCTTCATCAGCCAGTGTATGGCTCTTCAGTTTAAATGATGCTGTTTTTGAGAAAAATAAATGTTTTTAACATGTCTGCTCCATTTGAGATCACACTGAATATATCCACTACCTCAGTTAGTTTTACATTACTAAAGTGCGTGAGGAAGAAAGAGACAAAGATCTGGTAATCTTAGTTTCAGCTTCACAGAAAACTAGTCACCCCATAGTTGCTCCGGTCCTGTGCCAACGAAAAACATTCAGAATGTCTATCACTGTCCCTTGTGGAAAAATTGACACAGTCTGCAGTCTCAGTGTGTCCACCAGCATACACATGCATTAAAAGCAAATGACTGCCATCAGAAGTGCTAACAAAGATGACATATTCCCATAATCTGTTAGTGCTAAAACCATTCAAAATATAGTGTATTCATTCACACATCTTCATTTTTGCTGCATGCATTTTCTTCTTCTTCTGCCCCAGTGGAGAATAAGCCCTCAGCAAAACTACACCATGTCGTCCTATCTTGTGCTGTTGCGTACAGTGTTTTTTTAAAATAATATCCTACCCTAGATGACGTCACAGAACATTTTAGAGGGTGGTAAGACCGGGTTTCCCAGCTTTCTGATGCTTTTAACGACCCCAAAACATCTAGAACTGGCCCTAACCCCAACCCACCTACGCCCTACGAGAGAGTGCAGCCTAGGTCCCACGACTGCATGCAGCCTATCTACCACCCCCTTAAATATTAGACTGTCTCGTGACCTGTGGATTTCCCCTGATATTTATAAAGCACCTTCATGTCCTCCTCATCTTTTTTAACCTCACTCCCTAGTTTCCTTCTTTGTGTGTTTTTAATCTGCTTTTATTTATAATACCCTGTGGATTTCAGTGTAAAGAGATTCTAGTTGTATTGTTCTAAGGTTTTTTTAATGTGTGTCCTATAAAGCATCATAGTCTTTTTTTCACCTTCATTTGTTCTCTTCTAAAGTTCCACGTTAGTAAACATTTTATTTCTTTATCAGGGGCCTCAATAAAATCCTAACATGCACAGTCTGCACTAGACATGCAGTCCTGACTCCTCAGGCTCAAGACTCCCTCCTTCTCGCGCCATCTTCGTCATTTAAAAGTAGGAAATACCATCGGTAGAAACAGTTTTTTGTTAAAATTATGATTTAATTTCTATCCAGACAAGTCCTGCAACCCTAGCCTGAAAGATATTGTAATGCCTCATCACAACGTAACACAACAGTCTGGCAGTGGTGTGGGGACCTCTGGTGGAGTTTTTGATTGGCAGGGCATCATCGCTTTAGCTGTGTGGCTGTTTGCTGTGCTTTATTCCAGGTTAGTAAATGTTTCTGGGGAAAAAATCCAGTTATGTTCTCCTCTTCTTCTTTGATTCTTTTGTCAGAAAACTGTTTGTGCAGTCCACTTTATCTTGTTTATACCATACAGCTTTGTCTTAATTGACTTGAGAATAGGCCAGGAGTCTGTCGACTCTTACGACATGCTTGTTGGGGAGGCAGTGGGTCTATTCTTGTTTTCCCCCACAATGAGGCCCCAGAAACCACACGGGGCCAATCAGCATTTAATTAAAAACAATTTTTTGTTGTTGAATTCTTTGTCAGTAGACTTGTTTCTGTTTATTCATCAAATACACATGGGCATTCGATCTTACTACCCAGAGACCAGAGGAAATTACTAGAAGTTCACATGAAAAAACCTCAGCCTTCATCGGTGCTTGAACCCAGGACCTCCAGCATTCAAGGCAGATGCCATGCCTTGAGACCACTCAGCCCCGTTGACAGTAGACTTGAAACCCTATTTTTTAAACAAGTTATTAATCATTTATTGGGTGTGGGTTAATTGGTGCCAATATCTTTTTCATTTAGTGGTTTCTGATTACTACATTTAAATAGGAAACCAATTATGATATCTCCTGGCCATTTGGTTTATAGGCCCAAGATGCGCACATGCAGAAGTAGATACATGAAAAAAAAAAGTACCATAGAGTCGCCTAACACAGAAGGTACACCAAACACTTGGCTTCCGTCTCCTAACTCAGTTTCTTGTTTTCCTTTAATTCACAGCATTCGAACCAGCAGTCACAGCCAGGTTGGAAAACTCACCTTGTCTGCAAATACTATCCTGCAGACAGACACTGGTGAGTCATTGCTGCATTAGCAAAGCCTGTCCTAAATTAACGTTGTCTTTCCATCAGCAAATATTTGAACTAGTGTATAGGGCCAGGGTTCGTGAGCTCTGTGGTCTAAATTCAGTCAGTGTTGAATTAAGAATCAGCATCATAGCCCTCAGGATTCTCCCATAAGCGCTTCATCTCAGTGTTCAGCAGCAAGTAAAGAGTTCCAATTCCAAGGGTACCAGTAACTGTCTGTACATCTGTCTCATCTTTCCCTTGGGTGTTGAACGTCGGCCAGATCCCATAGTAACTCCTTGCAGCGCCATTCTCCTCAGACCGTAACGATCTTTTTATGCCTCCGCACTGTTCACGCACTCCCAAAGGGCCCTCACAACATCTAGCTTGTCATACATTAGTTAACCACCGAGTGGGGCAGAAACGGTCAGTCTGTGTGCCAGATGGTTTTCTAACACACCAGCATGACCTGGAGAAAAATCTAAAGGACACCAACTACTCGAAACCTCTGAAGCGATGCTTGCCACTCTGCACAGAACATGCCTGTCTCACTTCCAAAGGGCTATTACAACATCTAAATTCAGTCAGTGATTTAGGAGAGAATAATCCAGCCTTTTTAAGGATGTGCCAGACATTCTGGTAGCATCAGTAAGTAACTAAAGGCCTGTTTGTAACGCCCTTAATCATCTGAGTGATTGATTATGAATCGGGGTTACTCACTGTCTCGAAGAGTCAGCTAGAGAAACTGGAGCGCATACAGAATGAAGCTATGGGGCTGATCTTGGGTTTTACAAGAGACACCCTGATTTGTGCATGCGATACATCCTTGCATGGCCGACTATTGCAGACAGGCTAAAGATGCTGCAGGCTAAGTCATACCTCAGAGTAGCTGCAGGCAGGGAACACCCTCTGTATGAAGCTTTGGCTGCAGGCAAGGGTCAGATGCTGAAAAGGGGAAAATCGAGAATAGTTCAAGCAGAAGACACAGTAAGACAAGTATACAGGCTGGAGAACATTGGGCGAGGAGAGGAGTGGGTTAGAGTACCAGCAGAAAAGTCTGACCTGTGTAGGGTTATGATAACATTGGGCCGGGTGTGTAGAGAGTGACCAATGGGTGCTACAGAGGTTGAAGTCCAACAATTAAATCTACAACAATTCATGCCCAGGTGATCTGATTATCTATACAAATGGTTTAATGTTGAGAGGAAAGAGAAGCGCCTGGGATTTCGTAGCAAAAGCCAATGGAAAATCTTTAATGCAAGACAGCCTAGCATATAACACCACAACATCTAGCATGAGAATGGAGGTGAAGGTGGTAACTGCAGCTCTCCGGTGGCTAGAGGACAAGATGCATAAACATGTCGTAATTGTAACAGACTCTGAAAGCATGCTGAAAAAGGTGATGACAGGGATGCTTTGAGCAGAGTGGCAAGCTTAACTGGAAAGGTCACGGGTGGTGAGCATACTTTGGATCTTTTCTCCAGGCTATGCTGGCATGGTGGGTAATGAACAGGCAGACACATTGGCTTGATCCGCACCACTGTGTGATGAATTGATACATGACAAGGCAGATGTGGTCAAGGCCCTTTGGGAACAAGTAGTGGAATCAGTAGAGAACCAGATTGTGACTGGTACCATCAGTATTGGAACTCTGCACTGTCTGCTAAAGATGAGGACGGAGCATGCATGGGAATACCTTGAAAGCTGTGATGTCAATTCTTGACTCAACTTGTCACACCAGCAGTATTTTGGGTGTATGATGTTGGACTCATATTTTTGTAGACTAGTCTGCATTGGTTGATTTGGTGAGCATCATGCCAGTCATCCTTACTTCCCATGACATTTTCTGCATCCATATTAGGCTGTGGATCGGAAGGTCATGGTTTCGGGTCCTGAAGAAGCCGGCCTTTTTTTTAGAAATGACATTGGCTTCCAGGTGCAGTCCTGGAAAGTAAAGACTGTATGTGTGATGCTGACCACATCACCTACTGGGTACCAATTAGTCTATAAAATATAGATCTAGCCCTTCATGCCCAATATGCCTGAAGGCATGATAAAGAGTCCTTGGCTTTACTTTATATTAGAATGTGTCAAAGATATTCAACATTGATGAACTTTTAATCGGGTTGAATCTGGTACCTTTAGCATGTCGACTCTTCATTGGCTACTATCAAATAACGGGTCCTTTACTTACTTACTGACTTTTAAAATATATCTTTGCAGTTTTATTTTAACGTATATCAACACTGATGATGATGTTTTGAAGATTTAATTACCTTATACATAAATAATTGTAAGTCTCTCATATTTACTCACTTGCAGGAAAGAACACTGGCAGTGATGAAAATTTGATTGGTAAGTATTGGTTCCACTGTGTTGTTTCAGTTGTGCACCTGTCAGCTGTTGGTATTTTTGATTATGTGTATATTTTGCTGGCGTGTTGGTGGCTGAGTATTTATTTATGCAGACCTTTTCCTCTGGTACAGTATTTCCCATTTGGTGGTGGGTCAGCGGAACAAATTTAAGGGGGTCTGTTATGTCATATATTGAATGTATATGACAATATATTAAAGACACCAATACAGATCAAGCCAATGTAACACTTGTACCATTATATGTTCCATAGGGCTCGCAGTCTGTTCCTCTGTTCCTTTCTATCCTGTGCAGTCACATTGATTTCATAGATGGAATCCAGTCCAGCGCCTTTGGCCCCTGTCATCAGCGTTTGCTTTAGAATTTCTCTTGGACATCCTCGTTTTCTCAGTCCCGTCCTTCCCAGCTGTTTAGTGATTCTCTCTTCCTCTCTTCTCAGAGTATGTCCAACGTGACGCTATCTTCTCTGTCTCTTCTCTTCTCAGAGTATGTCCAACATGACGCCATCTTCTCTGTCTCTTCTCATCTCAGAGTATGTCCAACAGGACGCCATCTTCTCTGTCTCTTCTCATCTCAGAGTATGTCCAACATGACGTCATCTTCTCTGTCTTTTCTCATCTCAGAGTATGTCCAACAGGACGCCATCTTCTCTGTCTCTTCTCATCTCAGAGTATGTCCAACGTGACGCCATCTTCTCTGTCTCTTCTCATCTCAGAGTATGTCCAACATGACGCCATTTTCTCTGTCTCTTCTCATCTCAGAGTATGTCCAACATGACGCCATCTTCTCTGTCTCTTCTCATCTCAGAGTATGTCCAACATGACGCCATCTTCTCTGTCTCTTCTCTTCTCAGAGTATGTCCAACATGATGTTCATCATTTTCCTCAGGTATTTGTTTTTGAATGTCTTCTTCTTCTTTGCGTTTGCAAGCTGTAAACTTTGGCAGAAAGTTCTGGTTGTTCATCCACTTCTGGACTGCAGTCCTGTTCCAGAACCTGAGAGTTGCATCTGTTTTACAGTTCTGACTCATTTGTATGCAGCCTGCTGGTTCCTTGCCTCTCAGGCAGATGCACTCCAACTTTGAAGGAAGCTCCCAATTAGTCGACTCTTACGACTTGCTTTTGGGTAGGCAGTGGGTCTATTCTTGTTTTCCATATAATAGGTCCCTGGAACCCACACAGGAAGTTTTTGAATGCATTTATTTTTTGTTCAAACATTTGTACTATTGTTTATATATAAATGCTAATGTTTGTTTTCGGGGGGGGGGGGGGGGGGGGGGGGGGGGGGGGGGGGGGGGGGGGGGGGACAATTGGTCCTCCTCTTCTCCCGCCACCCATACAATTTGTGTGGGGGAGGGATTCTAGAAAAAAAAAGGGGGGGGGCAATGCCGCATGGGGCCTACAACCCACATGAGAAACATTTTCTCTGTCTGCATCTTTTTTCCCCTTGTTTTTGTGATCTTCTTTGAACATACCCTCTTAAGGTGTTTAGTCAATTTTTAGTGCAATGCTAAAATTTCAGTTTCTCTTACTATCACACAGGTGGCTCAAATGGTGATGCAGAGTCCCAGAAAGCTCATAAAGTTTGGGATAATGAGGAGGAGGGTGTGGCTTACTCCTACAGCTTCTACCATTTCATGCTGTGCCTGGCCTCTCTCTATGTCATGATGACACTTACCAATTGGTTCAGGTACTTGTGTGTTATTATCATCACCTGTTGTTCATACGCGATTATATTTATCTTGTCCCCATGTGGGTTCCAGGGCCCCATTGTGGGGAAAACAAGAATAGACCCACTGCCTCCCCAACAAGCATGTCACAAGAGTCGACTAATTGGGGGTCTCCTTCGAAGTCGGAATGCATCTGCCGGAGATGCAGGGAACCAATAGTCTGCATACATTTAAATCAGATTTGTAAAAAGGATGTGCATGCAGCAACTGGGGTTCTGGAACGGCCTTCAGGCCAAATCCGGCCCATGAAGGTCTAGCAAGTGGCCCACGGATCATTGTCATCTTTCTCTGCTGGGACTCTGGACTCTGGCCCGTGACGATCCCAATTTTCAGTATGGTGACCCCTGAGTAAACTTACTTGAATAGCCCTGCTCTAAAAGATGTGAAGCTTGAGCTAGAAAACTAAATGAGGCCAGTCCTCCTCAAGACCTATTGTAGAAGTCAGACTAGTCAGTCAGTATTTTGTAGACATGTTGTGAGAACCAGTGGACTTAAGAACTTTGTTACAACAGAAAGATCCTTGGAAAAACAGAAAGGGGAATGCAGAGTCATAAATACCAGGATGGAGGGGGCAAAACAGGTACACTTACCCAATCTGTGATTTTGGTGATCATGTGAGACAGCAAAACATGACTGTCTGTGCTAACTGCAGGGCACATGTTGATGATTTTGCCATATTTCTATTTTTCTCTCTGAATTTACTACGAATATTTTACAAAAATATTTTTTTTCCTGTTTTTTGTAATTGTTGATAATCTACATTCTTTGGTCATATCATGAGAAGGAGAAAACTAGAGTACATCGTAATAGTAGGAAAGTTGAAGGGGGAGGAGAGGCAGAGGGAGACCGAGAGTGAAGATGCTGGACAGTTTGTCATTTTGGCATGGAGAATCACCTGTGTCAGAGTTTACTGAAAGTACACGAGACAGAAAGTTGTGGATAGACATGACTACCAATGCCACACGGCATGGACTATGGAAGATCATCTCTATCAGAGTTGATTGAAAGTACACGAGACAGAAGGTTGTGGATAGACATGACTGCCAATGCTACACGGGATGACTTTAAGAAGAAGAAGAAGTAATTGTTGATAAATCAAAAATTATTATGGCAATTTTTATTTTTTAGTTACTGTTTTCTGCTGGAAAGATCAGTGGAAAAAGGGGCTGAAACGATGGCATGCGGGGATATCATCAAGAGAGCTGTTTCAGCCTACCAGGGATTGTAATCTGTTGAGATGTATGAGCGCCTACGTCAGTTGTAAAAAGGTAAAATCGGGAGATGTGAACCAGTGTCATTGCACACGGTTATAAACCATGTGCTCTGCCACCAGTACAGAAAGCTGATAAGAAACTGTCTGCCTGTGTCGCTGTCCGCACGCAACTCTGCAGCTACAGCGATGTTTCTCCATTCACCCAGAGTGTCAAATCTGGAACCCATTTCCTAGAGGCTGGGTGAACCCCGAGAACTGCCCGGTTTCGAACACCGGCCGTGGCTGCAGCGAGTTGCAGCTGGATTTGAAAGCGAACCTCCTATCGACTGCGCTGACGCTGGCACTGCACATGATGATGATGTAATCCACTGTTTTCTGTTTAATCATCATCATCCTTTTGTGGTCCACATATGGCGTGCACTGCAGTACTTAATCTATTACATTCTGTCTTTCTGCCAAATCTGAAACTTTGACTTTCATTCCACAGCCCCAGCTCGGATGTGAAATCCCTCAATGCCAACATGTCCTCTGTGTGGGTGAAGATTGGCTCCAGCTGGTTCAGTGTTGCCCTCTACATATGGACTCTGATTGCTCCAGCCATCCTTGTGAACCGAGAGTTCAGTTAGATTCTTTGAGAGAGAAGTGGGGGGGGGGGGGGAGTTTGTAGTTTGTATTGATTCTTCTGCCCAGCTACATCGTTTTAATTGTGTTATAGTAGCTTCAGTCTCTTTTTCTCTCAGTATAACTTGAAAAGCTTTTCCTGTGATTAATACATTTTTTATTGTGCTTTGACAGTCGGATACAAATAAAAAAGAAACTTTATTTGTAAAATAAGCTTTTTTTTTTTTTTTACAATAACAAATGCACTAAGCAAACTTTGCGAGCCCGACTTGTAATTAATTCCAATGTACCATGATCGAAACCCACCACTGGCTGCGTGGATTTTTATCATTGTATGGGGCGTCGCCGGTGGACCCAGCCTAAAATGGGAACCATGATGTATGTGCTGGGGAAGTTAAGATGGCCAGCGTAATGCTGACCACATTGCCCACCTAGTGACGATGGTCTGTAAAAATATGAGTGCTCTTACCATATACCCGATACGCCTAAAGGCGTGAAAAGGGACCTTTACTTTACTTACTAGGCAAACTTAATATAAGCTTGTATTGTGGGAGAGTGTGTACAGTTCGGAGGAGCAGATGGATCACCAAAGTCTGGTGAGGTTGATGCAGCGGGGAGTGGCGAGATGTTCTGGCAGATGCTCGAGGCTCAGAGGAAAGGCAAGGCGGACGTTTAATCAGAATGCTACTGGCACCATTAGTATCAGAACTCTTCACTGGCTGCTGAGGATGGGGATGGAGCGCTTAAGTGAATAGTACTAGGCCTATATTTTTATAGATCAACTGGCACTCGGTGATGTGATCAGAATCCCGCCAGATAAGTATTCAATAAAATTACAGGATCTTTTTCCACGCCTTCAGGCATATTGGGCATGTAGGGCTAGACCTATATTTTATAGACCAATTGGAGCTCTGTGGGTGATGTGATCAACATGGGAGCCAAGGTCATTATTGAAGAAAAAAATTCTGGCTCCATTTGGATTTGAAAAATATTTAATAGTGGCAGATGAATGTCTTTGTATTTTTGCAATATTTGTGTCTGATAATAATTCAGAAAAATTAAAACTAAATTAAGCATCTCTCTTGTTTTTTATTTGGCAAAACTAAAACATCTAGGAATTGCCTCGAAAAGCTTGAGAAAGCTGTATCAGTGCTAAAGCTATAGCACTGTATTGACACTATTTGTAAGATGTGTAAATAAATTACTAATTTTTGTTTGTTAACGAAAAGCTTGGTGTCTTTCATTTATTTCAATTGGCATTAATTAACCCACACGCACAAACACATGCATTCACCCCCACACACACATGCATGCTCCCTGATGGACACATGCATGCCCACACATATACAAACATGCACGTACACATGCATGCTCTCACATATACACTACCACACATTCATGCACTTACACATGCATATACTCTCACATACAAACTACTATACATGCATGCACCCACATACACATAGATACGTATTTTTCAGGAAGAAAATGACAAATTGTATGAAAATTCTAGAGGGTACATTTACATGTGTAGACGTCTTCATAGAAAGGTCTATTGAGAGATTGTTGTTGGCTAAACTCATGTAAAATGCTAATATTTGCTTATTTCCACCTTCTTCTTTACCAGCCCGCATGAACCTTACTGAAAGCAAAATTTTATTACATTAGCAGCTGTAGTCGATATAGAGTAAAAAAAAAAGTAAAGATCCCTTTACATGCCCTTAGGGCGCATCGGGCATATGGGAAGAGCACCCATATTTTTACAGACCAATCGGCACTCGGTGGGTAATGTGGTCAGCATTACGCCGGCCGTCTTTACTTTCCCAGGACAGCCCATCTTGGTACTCATTTGAGGCTGGGTCGACCTGCGACGTCCCATACCACGATAAAAATCCACGCAGCCCGCAGTGAGTTTCGATCGCGGTGCGTTGGAATAAGTGTCAGACTCGCAACGCCTTAGCCATGGAATCTGCCTGTAGTCGATATAACCTTACTTTAATCCAGAAAATCATGTTTCTTCAATTGTATTTTTTTTTTTTTTTTAAAGGTGTGATGAAACTTCATGATGTTTGCTGCTCGACATCTTTCGATCTCTCCCTATCCCTAGAGGTCTTGTTTTAGCCTGTATAAATCTTTTCTTTCAGATTCTGTGACTTTTCTTTAGTTAGTAGACAGATCAGCTTCATCAACATCAAATGATGCAGTACATACATCCTCAGATCCCTGCCTCAGCATTTAGTGACAGGAAACATCATTTCTGTGTTGGTTTTTAATTTTTCTTCGACCTCCTGCATAGTGATCTTTTCTGGTCTCACCCCTTTTGAGTTGCTGTTTTCACAGTTGTGGTTACAGATTGTCTTTGTTGCTACCTTGGATTTACTTGGTGAGTGCTGTCTTTGTTAGCATAAACTGTATTATTCTATGAAGAAATTTCATTTGGGGTAATTTTTCATAAGAGATTCTCTAAAATAAAACTGGTTCTTTTATTTAAACGTGTAAATAAATTCTGTACATGTATTTATTTGGCTTATTTCAACTTGGTCCCATGTTGACATATTGTTCGATGGTGCACGAGGCCTCTTTGTTCACCATAAACTGTTCTTTCTAGTGTTTAATATTTAATTGTTTTTCCCATTGTTTGTGATCCTTCAAAATTACTCGTTTTTATGTATTTGTATATAAATTATATAGTTATTTATTCAGTTTGTTTCGCACAACATGGCCGCAAATTAACATAATATTGTTTGTGATGCACTAGTTCTGTTTGTTAACTCTTTCGCTGCCATTAATTGTGTGATGTATTACAAGTACATCTTAGTGAACCACAGCCATCTTTAAATAATTTTTTTTAAATATTTGGTCAGATTATATTTAACAAATCTGGCTTCTGACTGACTGAGTGGAGACACCCCCCCCCCCCCCCCCATCTCCCGAAGGTGAAAAGTGACTAATTTACCAGAAGGTTTTGTTTGAGAACTAAACAGGAATTGGCCAGCACTCTTAAAAGCAGAGAAAGGAAATAGAAACTAAAAGACACCGTGGATGGACAACATAGCTGTTGATGTATAGATCTGCACTCAATGGGTGATGTGGTCAATATCACATCGGCCCACCTTTACTTTCCAGGACTTTACCTGGTACCCATTTAAAGCGGGATCATTTTTTAGAAGAACCGAAAAGGTCATGCTAGGTTTTGAATCAAACCTAAGACCTTGGGATCTGCAGATGAGCATCTAGCCACGACGGCTCCTATCCCCAACAAGCAGGTCATAAGTCGACTAATTAGTGGTGTTTCCTTAGATGTTAGATTGCTTCTGTCTAAGAGGTGAGGAACCAACAGTTTGCTTACAAGTAAGCCAAATCTGTAAAATGGATGTACATACAAAACTCAGGTTGTGGAACAGGATTTAAATTCCAGAAGTGGATGCCCGTCCAGGCGATGTGATTGTCTATACAGATGGCTCTGTGTTGAGAAGCAGACAAAGTGCATGGGGATTCATTCCGAAGGTGAATGGACATTGCTTGTTTGCAACAAAACCTGGCATATGATATCACAATGTCTGAGAATAGATGTGGAGGCAGTCACTGCTGCATTTCCCTGGCTTGAGAATCAGCCGTTAGTGTAACTGATTCGCAGAGCATGTTAAAATCGGTGGAGACAGGCATGCTTCGTGCAGAGTTTTATGCATCACTTTAAAGGTCCCAGGCAGTTAGCATCCTTTGGATATTTTCTCCAGGCATGCCGGTGTGTTGGGAAATTAGCAGGTAGACACAGACTGGCCGGTTCTGCACCTTTTGGTGGTGAACTGATGTATGACAAGCTGGATGTTGTGATGGGCCTTTGGGAGCGAGTGAACAGTGCAAAGGTACAGATAGATCATTACAGTCTGAGGAGAATGGCACAGCGAGGAGTTACAAGGGGATCTGGCTAACGCTCGACACTCAAGGGAAAGGCGAGACGGATGTACAATCAGACAGTTACTGGTACGATTGGAATTTTAACTCTTCACTTAATGCTGAAGATAGGGACGGAGCGCTTACTGGAGTGTCCAGAGTGCTGTGAGATTGATTCTTAATTCAACAAGGAACTTGATGATGATGATGGACTGTAGCATCATGGTCAGAGCTATCAAAAACAAAAAAGCGCCTGAAGATTTTTCCTGTTAACAAAACAAAAAATGTAATTTTGACACTAAAAGAAGGATTTTTGGAGGGCTGGAATCATTTAAAGTTATTTAAATTAATTTGAATGGGAATAATAGTTTCAGGATACAACTTATTACCATACGAGCTCAGTCATGGAACAGATTAAATTTGTATTCCGCTAACTTTATAATAAACTTTTTTTTTTTTTAGTATGATTTTATCTGGATTAATGGGTAGGTGAATCGAATTTCTTTTAAAGGTGTTGCTTGTTAATATAAACTAATCAATGATTATATAGATAGGGTGCCTGAATGTTACCAGGGCCCCTAGGAGAGGCTTTTAGTTCTCTGTTTAACTTTGTGGTTTTAGATTCTTACCTGGTACAATCGTCTTCTTGTTAATCACTTGATGTTAACTTAATTTTTTGTGTACATTCATGTCACAGATTTGGCTTATTTGTGTGCAGACTGTTGGTTCCTTGCCTCTCAGGCAGATGTACTCCAAATTTGAAAGAAACGCTCTTAATTAGTCAGTCCTAATTAGTTGACTTTTATGACATGTCTGTGTACTTAATGGTATCCACTTAAAGCTTAATTCAACTTCTACTTTATATATGTGGCTTAGGTGTTGCGAACATGCTTAGTAATTTCAGAATACTTACACAAAAACGTATATATACATGAATATGAATGAAAGTGTTCATTTACATGCACACACTCACAAGCATGTACACAAATACATACACGCACCCTCATGCACATGATTTATCTTCTTGTTAAAGATTGTTATATGTTTTCTACTACCAAGTGTTTTTAATAGATGGTTTAGATATAGTGTACTGTGTGTTATTTAAGGTATG